CATGCGCCACTATGCTTGTCTAATTTTACATTTTTCAGTAGAGATGGGGTTTCTCCATGTTGGTCAGGCTGGTTTGGAGCTCCGGACCTCAGATGATTTGCCTGCCTTGGCCTCCCAAAGTGCTGAGATTTCAAGTGTGAACCACCGTGCCTGCCCCCCCAACCCCCCTTATTTTTTGAGCAGGAGTTTCACTCTTGTTGCCCAGGCTGGAGTGCAGAGGTGTGATCTCAGCTCACTGCAACCTCCACCTCTCGGGTTCAAAGGATTTTCCTGCCTCCGCTTCCCGAGTAGCTGGGATTATAGGCACCCGCCCTCAGAGCCAGCTATTTTTTGTATTTTTTAGTAGAGACAGGGTTTCACCATGCTTGCCAGGCTGGTTTTGAACTCCTGACCTCAGGTGATCCACTGCCCTGGCCTCCCCAAGTGCTGGGATTACAGGCACAAGACACTGTGGCAGGCCAAATTACTTCACTTCTGAGCTTTGGTCTTCGTCTTTTTTTTTTTTTTTTTTTTTTTTTGAGACGGAGTTTCGCTCTTGTTACCCAGGCTGGAGTGCAATGGCGCGGTCTCACTGAAACCTCTGCCTCCTGGGTTCAAGCAATTCTCCTGCCTCAGCCTCCAGAGTAGCTGGGACTACAGGCACTCACCACCATGCCCAGCTAATTTTTGTATTTTTAGGAGAGACGGGGTTTCACCATATTGACCAGGATGGTCTCGATCTCTTGACCTCGTGATCCACCTGCCTCCGCCTCCCAAAGTGCTTGGATTATAGGCCTGAGCCACCGCGCCCGGCCTGGTCTTCATCTTTTAAACTGAGATAATGTGATGTACAAGAAAGCAACTAGCTCATAGTACATGCTGGTTGGCAAATGTATCAAACTTAGAATCTTCTTTTTGGTTTCCCAAGGTGTTTCTTTCATTAGACTGTGAATGGCTACGAGGGAAGTGGCAGGAGTCCCTTGCAATGTTCTGCTGCACAGTGAGCACTGACCGATGCTCACCAATCAGCACCTGGTCCACTGGTGTTGAGTACTGATACCATCATGGACTAATCCCTGTGACACCGGTCCTACAAGTAACACATGCATTCCACGGGAAGGGAGCCTTGCTGTTCATACTTTATCCCCAGAGCCTAGAAGAATGCACGGCCTACACAGAAGGCACTCCAAATGTACATATAATGTTGTTGGGGTGTGGGAGGACACTGTACTAGTATCATTTGCAATTCGGCCCAGTAACACTGATCACAAGGAGCTGTGAAAACAAAATGAAAAATGCACATGAAAATACCGTTTCCTCTCTTCAGTGACATTCAGAACCAATGTATGAGTTTCCACCTTTTTTTTTTTTTTTGAGGCGGAGTTTCACTCGTTACCCAGGCTGGAGTGCAATGGCGCGATCTCGGCTCACCGCAACCTCCGCCTCCTGGGTTCAGGCAATTCTCCTGCCTCAGCCTCTTGAGTAGCTGGGATTACAGGCATGCGCCACCATGCCCAGCTAATTTTTTGTGTTTTTAGTAGAGACGGGGTTTCACCATGTTGACCAGGATGGTCTCGATCTCTCGACCTCGTGATCCACCCGCCTCGGCCTCCCAAAGTGCTGGGATTACAGGCTTGAGCCACCGCGCCCGGCTGAGTTTCCACCTTTCTTGTTCATTTATCCTTTTCATTCAGAATCCAACACAAATGGATTTAAAAATTGCTGGAAAAAGCATGACCAAGGGTCCTTTCTACGTACACATGGAATTTCCTTACCACTAACACAGTGCTAAATTTATTTGGTTAGAATCAATGTACCTTAAACACTTAAGTGAACTTTCCAATGCTCATGATATTGAATGAGTTTATTAAATTACATAAACATACCAGGAACAATGGCTCACACCTGTGATCCCAGCACTTTGGGAAGCAGAGACTAGGTGGATCACCTGAGGTCAGGAGTTCGAGACCAGCCTAACCAACATGGTAAAACCGTCTCTACTAAAAATATAAAAAAAGTAGCTGAGTATGGTGGCGTATACCTGTAATTCCAGTTACTCAGGAGGCTAAGGCAGGAGACTCACTTCAACCCTCAGGAGGCAGAGGTTGCAGTGAGGCGAGATTGCACCATGCACTCCAGCCTAGGTGACAGAGCAAGACTATCTCAAAAAAAATTACATAAACATAATTCTTGAGAATATGAATCAATAGGAACAAAGTGTGGAATGGAACTTGGAAAAATAAAGAGGTGTGTTAGAATACAGGAGGGGGAGGATGACCTGAGCCCAGGAGGTTGAGGCTGCAATGAGCTATGATCACACCACTGCACCCCAACTTAGCGCAGCAGAGATGCTGTCTCAAAAAAATAAAGAAAAAAAATGCCCCAGGCCAGCTGTGGTGACTGTCTCTACTAAAAAAAATAAAAAGAAAGAAAGAAAAAAAACATATATGAGTGCTGGGCACAGTGACTCATGCCTGTAATTCCAGCACTTTGGGAGGCCAAGGTGGTTGGATCATGAGGTCACCAGATCGAGAGCAGCCTGGCCAACATGGTGAAACCCCATCTCTACTAAAAATAGAAAAAATTAGCCAGGCGTGGTAGTGCGTGCCTATAGTCCCAGGAACTCGGGAGGCTCAGGCACGATAATTGCTTGAAACCGGAAAACGGAAGTTGCAGTGAGCCTAGATCACGCCACTGCACTCCAGCCTGGCCATAAAGCAAGACTGTCTTAAAAAAAAAAAAAAAAAAAAAAAAAAAATATATATATATATATATATATTTATATACAGTTGGGCAGGGCATGGTGGCATGCACCGGTAATCCCAGCTACTCAGGAGGCTGAGGTAAGATAATTGCTTGAACCAGGGAGGTGGAGGTAACAGCGAGCCGAGATTGCACCATTGCACTCCAGCCTGGGTGACAGAGTGAGACTTTAACTCAAAAAAAAAAAAAAAAAAAAAAAAAAAAAGCCTCAACGAATGTCCCCATCCTTATAGAGATAAAATGAGGGAATAAGAAATAGTCACCACTGGAGACCAACATGAGATCCTCTGAGGCAGTGGGAATTTTACTGGTTGGGTTGATCACCTTGTCATGACGACACACAAGGGCCCAGAAAAAGGTTTCGGAAACTCTTCGGACACTGAGTGAGGTTCCTTAGTCTGGCTGCGTAGTCTGTTTTTGAAATTCCACGTTTTCAAAACTGAACTAATTTTCCGCTTCATCTTCCTCATCCCTTAGGTGATGTTTCATCATCTTGCAGCTGACTCCGATAGCTCCTTTGCCGGGACATCTGCCAAGTCTTGCTGGGTCTCGCCTCTTCTGCTCCTCCTGTCACAGACTTTGATCATGCGTTCCCCTATCATCTGGGATTGCATGCCTGAACTGCTGCGTTGCCCGCATCCAATCCTTCACATTGCTGTCAGGTCCAGAAGCATAACCCTCCATCCTTCCTGCACCCTCCTAGTCAAATACTTACAATGTTCCCCAGTGCTTACAGGACAGAGGTCAAATTCCTCTTCCTGGTGTTTATGGCCCTCTATGACACTATACATTTTGTTAAACTTCTCTAAATCTCCACTATCAAACTCCACGTTCCCTGGGCACAGTGCCCTGTGCTTTCCCACTCCATGGCTTTGCTCACAGATTTTTTTCAATAGGAATGTTTCCCACCCCACATCCCCAAAAGGTTCAGCAGTTCAAGTGCTCTCTGATCCTAGATGACTCTGTTCTCTGAACATCTGCTTTGCCTTCATCATTAGCAACCAGATCACAAACTCCAGGAGGGCAAGAGATACTCTGCTTTTGTTTATTTCCAGTGCATTCTAAAATTTTGGTTTATAGGAGGCAATGGAACAGTTGTTTTAAGCCTAGGGACAGCCCCCAATAAATTCACAGGCAGCAGTCAAGTGAATCTCCTTGACTTTTGCTCCAGCATGTAATGAAAGCCCTCGAGCTTCCTCCCTGCTTTGATGCCCCTCAACAGTTCAAAGGGTAAGATTGGAACCCCTGCACTTCTGGTGCCTCCCAGAGAGCTAGGCCAAACAGGCAATGCAAGAGTAATTAGGACAAAAGTAATCCAGGAGGCCAGGCATGGTGGCTCATGCCTGTAATTCCAGCACTTTCAGAGGCCGAGGCGGGTGGATCACCTGAAGTCAGAAGTTTGAGACCAGCCTGACCAATATGATGAAACCCTGTGTCTACTGAAAATACAAAAATTAGCTGGGCATGGTGGCACGCACCTGTAATCCCAGTTACTTAGGAGGCTGAAACAGAACTGCTTGAACCCCAGAGGTGGAGGGTGCAGTGAGCCGAGACCGCACCATTGCACTCCAGCCTGGGCAACAAGAGTGAAATGCTGTCTCAGGAAAAACACCACCACCACATTTCCCCCTCACTGGTTTTTGATTAGTTCACATCTTAAGGTGATGAGATCATGGCACTGCAGATTCATGAAGAACTTGTTTGGTAACGCTCCAAGTTTCCAAACTGATTAATTCCTCATCAGCCTGGCCATAAGTTTCTTAAGAGAAAGAATGATAAATTCCTGGGAAACTTGCTTTTATTCTGTTGGGTGAGAAAAATCCTTTAGGAATGTGTTGGTTCCCTAAGATGGGTGATCCCAAGGAACAAAACCATCGTGACACATTAGCTTTTTTTTTTTGAGGAGTCTCGCTCTGTCACCAGGCTGGAGTACAGTGGCACAATCTTGGCTCACTGCAACCTCTGCCTCCTGGCTTCACGTGATTTTCTTGCCACAGCCTGAGTAGCTGGGATTACAGGCACACACCACCTGTAACACACGCCTGGCTAATTGGTATTTTTATTAGAGACAGGGTTTTATCATATTGGTCAGGCTGGTCTCAAATTTCAGACCTCATGATCCAACTGCCTTGGCCTCCCAAAGTGCTGAAATTACAAGTGTGAACCAGCGCGCCTGGCCTACACATGAACTTTTTATGCTAAGAAAAGACATATCAAGATATATCAGAAAGTACAACTTCAATTCAAGCACCATGAAATTTTGTCAAGCAAAAATAGTCTTTATTCAAATTTAATGGAAACAGGGGTCACTATACTTTGCAAGACGGGGAAAAATAAAATTAAAAAAAATTCTTTTCTTTTCTTTTTTAATATAAAACAATATAATCACAATACCAGAATATGGAACTCTACAGTTTATTTCCTATGGGTTACTGCAGGTATCAATTTTCCTCGACTGTGCTATTCACAACTTCGTTAAGTCCAAAATATGAAACCAAAGTGGTAGGAAACTTAAGACTTAGCACTTTCACTAAATGGCATACATCGAAGGGCATCAATTCAAGAGCAAAAATGGTTGAACTCACCATACCTACCTATGTGGTCATTCCAGCCTTAGAGCCGTCCAGGTTACTGAGCTCCCTGAAGGAAAGGCCAGGCCTGAAAGCCAAGGCGTTTTGGATATTCTACTGTGGGCCATGAGTAAAAGGGAATTTTCAAAAGAGAATTTTTTTTTTTTTTTTTCAGTCGAGCAGGAAGGCCTGGCGCCAGGAGGCTTTACTGAGAGGAAGCACTTAGATTTAACAATTATAGACACACCATTAGGGGAGTTAAAAATGTACAGCAGTGACATGTTCTACTCCAATCACTTGTGCTACGGCTACCAAACATGTACAAAAGACTCCTTGGGTAGTTCCAGCTGTGGTCGTAGCCAGTTAGGACCTTGAGTGGGACCTAGATCTAGACCGGGAGGGTGATCTGGAAGCAGACCTGGATTGAGACTTGGACCGAGATCGGGTTTTTGAAGCTGACTTTGATCTGGAGCGTGATTCTGATGGAAGGTTTGGCTTCGATTTGGAATGGATCTCGACCTGGACCGGGTCTCCTGATTGGTGCCAGCATTCTCACTCCTCCCTCTGGCCCTTCCCTCTGGCTGGATTCAGACTTGGCATGGTCCCGCTCCTTTGAAACAGAGCGGGACGGCGATCTGGACTGCGAGCGGTCAGTGTCTTCCTTCTTCTTCTTCTTGCTGCTGCCCGTCTTGCTGTCTCGCTTGCTGCCTCGCTTTCTGCTCCTCTCACTCTTGCTGCGGCTGCGGCTGCGGCTGCGGCTGCGGCTCTCCTCCCTGCTTCTCTTCCTGCCCTTCCTCTTGTCCTTGCTCTTGCTGTGGCTCCTACTCCGGCTCCTGCTACCCCCTTTGCTCCGGCTCCGGCTCCGGCTCTGGCGGAGGCTCTTCTCCTGGCCCCTGCCCTCCTCCTGGCTCCTGCCCCTGCTCATACTCCCTCGCTTCTCCTCCTCCACTCTCCTCTCCTGACTCCTGCTCCGACTTTTGCTCTTACTTTTATGCCTGCTAGGACTCCGGCTCTTAGGTTTCCCAGCATTGTCATTGTTTTGGATCTTCTCTTCAGCTTGGTCTTTGCTTTTGCTTCGGCTCTTGCCAACGCTGCGACTGCGGCTGCGGCTCTTGTCCTTGCTGGGGCTCCTGCTTTTCTCCTTCTTGCTCCGGCTCCGACTCTGGCTTCGGCTCCGGCTCTTGCTCCGGGAGTGGGAGCCCGACCTGAGGAGACATGGGACAATATTTGAGTCACATGTGACTTCATGCTAATCTGGAGATAAAAAGACCAAAGGACGTATGTGTAGAGTTATGCCCCCCATATGAGGCATGGATGGCACCAACTAAGGATTTCTTTTTGAACCCCCATAATGACAATCAGAAGCTGAAAAAACTGGCTGAGCATGGGGCTCACACCTGCAATCCCAGCACTTTGGGAGACCGAGGTGGGAGGATCACAAGGTCAGGAGTTTGGGATCAGACTGGCCAATGTGGTGAAACCCTGTCTCTACTAAAAATACAAAAAAATTGCCGGGTGCGGTGGCTCAAGCCTGTAATCCCAGCACTTTGGGAGGCCGAGGCAGGTGGATCACGAGGTCAAGAGATCGAGACCATCCTGGTCAACATGGTGAAACCCCGTCTCTACTAAATACAAAAAATTAGCTGGGCATGGTGGCGTGCGCCTGTAATCCCAGCTACTCAGGAGGCTGAGGCAGGAGAATTGCCTGAACCCAGGAGGCGGAGGTTGCGGTGAGCCGAGATCGCGCCATTGCACTCCAGCCTGGGTAACAAGAGCAAAACTCCGTCTCAAAAAAAAAAAAAAAAAAAAAAGGCCAGGCCGGGTGGCTCAAAGCTGTAATCCCAAGCACTTTGGGGAGGCCGAGGCGGGTGGATCACGAGGTCAAGAGATCGACGACATCCTGGTCAACATAGTGAAACCCCGTCTCTACTAAAATACAAAAAATTAGCTGGGCATGGTGGCACGTGCCTGTAATCCCAGCTACTCAGGAGGCTGAGGCAGGAGAATTGCCTGAACCCAGGGGGCGGAGGTTGCGGTGAGCCGAAGATCGCGCCATTGCACTCCAGCTGGGTAACAAGAGCGAAACCCGTCTCAAAAAAAAAAAAAAAAAAAAAAAAAAAAAAATTACCAGGTGTGGTGATGTGTCTGTAATCCCACATATTCAGAGGCTGAGGCAGGAGAATCTCTTCAACCAGAAGGCAGAGGTTGCAGTGAGCTGAGATCGCACCACTGAACTCCAGCCTGTAACATCAGCACTTTGGGAGACTGAGGCAGGTGGATCACCTGAAGTCGGGAGTTGAGACAAGCCTGACCAACGTGGTGAAACCCTGCCTCTACTAAAAATAAAAAAAAATTAGCCGGGGGGTAGTGGTGGCTGCCTGAATCCGAAAAGCTACTCAGGAGGGTGACTGCAGGAGAATCACTTGAACCTGGGAGGCGGAAGTTGCAGTGAGCCGAATTGTGCCACGACACTCCAGTCTAGGTGACAGAGTAAGACTCCATCTCAAAAAACAATCGAAGCTGGAAAAGCAGGAGTGAAGGAATGAAGGAAGACTGGTCACAGTGACTAAAATCTAA